TTTTAAATTATCATTAATTATATCAAATTTATATTACACATATAATGATATAAAGAAAAGTATTAAAGAGACTTTTGTTCAACATTCTTAAAAAATATTTTAAAAAAAAAAAGTAATTAGAGAATTCTTGTGCTGATAAAGGCTCCAGGGCATACTCGCTGCCTGTCGTCAACAGCTGTACTTTGTACCGCCAAAGCCGAGAGCGTGTCGGCACTCGAGACTACAATTATTATTCTCCTTATCTTACTTTCTTTTTCTCCTTCCTTTAAATCTCCTTTTTGCCATTGCTAAAAAACAATTCTGACATTGACAACTGTAAACTCATACTTTAATGATTTTGCAAATTCGTCCATCTCTTTTACATATTTCTTTAATAGTAACCTTTCTTTTTTAAGAATGATTTACATGTTATCTCCTGAATTTATTTTAATTTTTCGGTTTACTTTTCAACCTTATGGGAAGAATATTACTCATACAATATGATTTAATGATTAAAGTAGGCTTAATAGTTTAACTAGAAATGATACCTGATTACTCTCTTTCCATGAAGTCTTTGCGCATTAAGTCCATTATTTTACCTAAAATTGATTGTAGATTAGGTAAGAAAAGAACTTGTCATTATATAAAATTGATTGTGGATTAGGTAAAAATGGAGACTAATATTGTCAGCTCAACTTCTAACTAAACGAAGGAAGAAGATTTTGACAGAGATGCCAAAATCACATGATTAGTTGGTTAAATCTTATGGTCATAGGGATCACTTGGTAAATATATATATATATAGTTTAAATGCCAAGTTAAGAAAAGTTGAATAAGTTAATTGAGTTCAAGAGATTCCCTCCTTACTTTTAGTTTTTTATTTTATTTTAAAGAACTTTCTTAAAGCATATATTAAGAATGCAATTATTATATATTTTCATCATTAATTTATATAAAAAAATTAAAAACTAATTTAAAATTTATCAATTATCCAATTAAATCATTTCAAATAGCATTGGTGTTGAAAATAAAATTTATTTTCATAATTTTTAATATAAATTAATGATAAAAAAGTATAATAAATGTCAAAGGTTAGAAAGAGCTTTTTTTAATAGA